GCTTTATATGATGTATATTAATTACATTGAGCCAATGTATTCCCCTGAGGAAGGACATCATTTGTAATCAACTTCAAGCACTAGTTGATTCATTCAAAATTGGCAAGGCCCCATTATTTTTCCCCCTTTTAGGGGTTTTCAAATAAAAAATTCTAGTATCTCTTATATGATGCACCCCTATATATTATTTGTCTATATTGTGGATCTTCATAAAAAGCTAGGACGTTAAATTCTCTATTCTATCACCATAAATTTTTTAGGACACAATAATCATTATTAAATATTTGAATCTTGAACTCTTTGAAATGATCATGGTTGCTCCATATGTTAGTTTTTCTATCCTTTTTTCTATTATATACAGGGTTTTTAAAGTTGGATCAGACCGATCGGTCCGATTGGTTCAACCGTGAATCATTCTTAAGACTGATACAATTTACCCTAAAAATTGTTTCTATATCAAACTAGCTTGAATTGGCCAAAACCACCGGTTCAACCGGCGAATTGGCCCAGGGTTCCCTTGAACAGATCGATTCAATTTCTAAATTATTTAAATAATTTAATAAATTAATTTAGAATAAATTAAAATACTATGTAAACTTTGTAATTTAACAAATTAGTTTAAATTTAAAATGTTTAGTTTTTAAATAAATAAATTACAACTACATTTCATATGTCTTGATCATTCCATGTGAGTTCTTACCCAATCCAAACTCAAAAGATAATATAAAGAGTAAACATTATCAAGAGAAAATTTCTTAAGTGATGTGAGACTAAATAAGTTGAAGTTCTTATTTCTTAAGTTTATAAGAAATACTATATATTTTAAAACATATTTTTAAATAAACATTTTATGATGTAAATAGCATTCACTTTTAATTAATAATATTAAACAAATTATATACTTCATTTATTATATATGTATTATAAAATTAATTATTTCCCTTTATTGTTATAAAATTTTTAGGAAGCAACAATCATCGTTAAATATTTGGATCATAAACTCTTTGAAATGACCATGGTTGCTCCACATATTAGTATTTATGTCTTTTATTTTCTATTATATCATTATATGTGTCTCTCTTTTCTTGTCATATTTATAAGTATACACTAGAAATTTGGGGAAAAATATAGGAATTGAGATGGGGTCTCCTCAATTGTTTTTCATAGGATCACCTTAAAATTGTAATATTTTTTTATCTTACAAAATAATAATATTATTATTTACTTTTGTGTGTCTTTATATTTAATATAAATGTTTTGAAATTTAAGATTTTTTTTTTTTTGGTGCTATAGTTTTTACATTAATGGAGAGAGTGACATATTAGCATTTAATAAAAATCTTGCATTTACACAAATATTTTAAGAGCAACTCTATTGTATATGAGATTTTTACATAATAAACTTGATGTCGTAAAATCATAGTCTAACTTAATTTAAATGATTCCACAAAATGTGATTTGTATATTTACAAATGATACGTGTAATTTGAAAATATATATATTAATAAATACAATATATATAAATTATGGAATGTGACACCCAATATCTAAATTTGAAACTATTATTTGTTTTATCTCTTATTACTCTACTAGAGCCATTAACCTCATTTAATAAATGAAAACCTATGGAAGCAATCATATACATCAAATATTTTCTCTTTATTTATTAATCATCCAAATTTATTTACAATAGTTAGAAGTTTAATTAATGCATCAGTCTATCTCCATAGACTTCTCACTATAAAAATTAAAACAAAAGTAAACAAATAACACTAAATATGAAGATTTTGATCAGTCTCACTGTACTGGATCCTGATCTCTTTCTAAAAAAATAAAATTCGCAAGGCGAGCTAACAACTCAGTAGATTATTATAACTTATAACTACAATCAATTCAATGCAATAGAAGCAATATGCATATAATTATTTAATTCATATAAGTATTATAACTATAATAAATTCAATGCAATAGAAGCTAATCATTTAATTCATGTAAGAACATGTAATAGTCAATATGATAGTAAATAAATATGTAAATGTCATTTCATATGAGCAATAGAAATCAATACAAATTATATAACTCATGATTATTGATTAGTAGTCATATGAGACATCAGGAGGTTCTCTCATAAATTTGTACATGTTTCAATTTAAATATCAATTCATGTATATATCAATCTACCTATCATATCAAGCAAATGTTTTATGCATGTCATACAACAATAACACATGTATATCATATTCTCAATCAAATACAATACATCATGTATTCCAAATGTATCATATGTCATTGTATCAATCTTACCAGTCATATAATATGTCAATATCATTCATGTATTATATCATACGCATATTATATGATATTATGTCACTTATATAATTTATCATGTATGTTTATGTTATATGCATATATAAGTAAGACGTGACATATTGCTACATACAATATTTTTCTTGTATTAAGTCTTGTAAACTAATTCTACAAAAATCAATCGCAATCATCTCAATCATGTTATCAAGAATCAGTCTTAAATTACATATCACATATCACCAGCTCAGTGCCATAGCGCTCCATCAGCTAATTTATTGGAATTTCATTGAATTTAAATTTAAGGTTATTAAATAAAATATATTTTTTTCATTGGTAGAAGTAAACACCTTTAAATGGTTTAGCGACCATCAAATTATGATAGGAAATACCTAAGTCGTTCATCTTATAAGAGGGAAGATCATGAAGACAGGTTTTGAATGTTCATTGTTAAAGTGAAGTATTAGTTAATAAGATGTGTTGGTCAATAATCAATTATGAATTTCATACATTCATCCATGATGTAATCTCTATAATCACAGACACCCTAAAGAATGATGCAACCTAATGCATAAAATTAATGTGTATTCATAGCATTTCCATCTAATCTAGCTTCCCAAACAGTCCTCTTTGGGGAAACCCTCATGATGACCTTAACCCTCTAATGAAAGAGGCCTTAAATGATATTTTAATTCCTCCACTCAAACTTTTACCTTTAAAAAAATATTTTTGAGAAAAAAAATTTACTTAGCTTTGTTTGGGATAGTTTTCTATTTTTTAAAGAAGCTTTCTATAACATAATTTCTAATTCATAAAATTTTTGTACTAATTTTTTTTAAAAAAATTATAAGAAAAATGTCTAAAAAAAGCCCTAGAAAGAAACTTTAAAAAATAAAATAGAAAACTTAAAAACTTAAGCTGAGACAATTAATGAATTAATGCCTAAACTTTCAAAACTCCCTCAAAATACTCTTAAATATGATATTTTATATTTTTTAAATATTTTAATAAGATTTTTAATCCTCAAAATGAGCCCTAGAAGTTTTCCATTAAACTCCGAGTATTCACGGGTAATGCTAATTTATAAATTAGCTCACGTGTGAGCCCCATTGTATGGGTTTTATTTGGAACAATTTCTTTACTTCTTTTTGTGGTAAGAGAAGCATTTTGTGAAATATAATGTTTATTTGAAAAGACATTTTTTTAATCTCTATTTCAAATATTTGTCTATAAAAAGTTGATTTTGAAAAAGTATTTGATAAGACAGTTTTTTTTTTACTTAAGATTTTATTTCGGATAACTTTTGACCACTATTTTTGTACGTTTTTTAAGGGGCTGTTTGGTTGGTTGAAAAATGAATGCAGAATAAAGTAAGTACTTTGAGACTGTTTGACTGTCTGTAAAGTGAATGCATGAGAATTAGTTTTTTATGTTGGATTGGGTGTATACAGAGTAAAGTAAAATCAATATATTATAAATACTTAGAGGTCATTTGATTTGGTGTTGGTAGAGTAAAGAGGAAATATTCTATTTTGATCAAAATAGTTCGAGTCCATATTAATAATGATAATTTCATGATACTTAAAAAAATTGTGTACATTTATAAAAATAATATTATTAAAAGAACTATCACAATTCTACATTTTTCTTCAAAGAAAATATATTTACAAAACTATGTCATACACAAGAAAAAAAAATAATCTTTTGTGCATTTACAAAAGCACATCTAAAAAAAAGTTATAAACAACTATAAATACTTGTCTTCAATATGTTTAAAAGCCAACATTCTTCATAAACAAATGTAGTCCTTAATTTTTGGGAAGTGAAGAAATAGCTTACAAAATGCAAGAAGAAATGAAGAATCGTGCAAAAATAAACAAGTAAAACAAAATCGAATCAGAAAATCACAAAGCCCAGCAAAAAATGTCGGAGTGAAGTGGAATATCAAAGGAGCCGAAGAACTCTACCTTACGTTAAGCGTCAAAGTCTAATAGCCACGATGAAATAGAGAAGATCAAAAGCTTCCGAAATGACGATGGTTCTGCAACGATAAGGATGAAAAGAACAAGGGTTATCGTAGGCTTTTCTCGCATCCGCAAATTTATTTTCACTCAAATCTAACGGGTTTCGTTTACGTGTAAAATGAGATGTAACAGGGAGTTTCTAGTACATTATGATTTTATTTTATTTTACTTTATGTTCAATCAAATATCAAAAAATAAAGAAGAATAGTGCATTTTTTTTACATTGTATTTCTTTTTCCTCCAACCATTTTGTGCTAGAAAGTCCTAAAAAATAATAAAAATTTTGCCTTAAAAAACCCTTAGGCATAATTTCAAAAGCCTTTATTTGTGACAGTTTTCTTTTTGCCTTTTAAAACACCTATCTACTATAAAAATTTGTAAAAAATAATAATAAAGAAGTGGCAAAAAATAATTCCAAATGAATCATAAGATTTTTTTTGGGGAAATTTAAATTTTCTATTTTACTTGTCAAAACTTTTTTCTCAGCAACAATTTTAAATCTGAATTAAAAAAAATAAATTTATGTAGACAAAAATGTGAAAAATATAAAAAACTGTATTCTAAATATTATTATTTTTTTATAAAAAAATAAATAAATAATTATTTCAAATAAAATTTAAGAAAGAAACTTAAAAAAAATAAAATAATAATAATAACAAACCGCCGCAAACAAAACCTCCATCTCCCTTGGAACGCTATGACAAGCCCGGCTCAAAGCCCTGTATATTGTCCACTCGTGCTTTCGTCATGGCCTTCAATCGCCCGCCTTTGGCCGGAGATGCCATGGCGACGACGCCAACCGTCCGATCGAGTAGCTTCTCTCGAAATATTTCGACTTCGGCCGCTTCAAGCGCCTCTTCTCCTACTCCAGGAAGTAGAATAGGCTCCGGAGGCGCTGCTTTCGTTTCATCTGGCATACCAGACCTAGACAGTTAACATTTACTCCTCCGTCTCTTCTTTTTCGTCTTGACAACATCCTCATGGTCCTGCTGTATCTTGATTTGTACTATAGGGATATTAGGAGGCGGGTTTCTGCTGGGAAGTTTAGTGATGGTGATGGAGGACGCGGAGGCGCCACACCACCTTCTGTTGCTTAGAAACTTCATGGCCCAGGGTGTAGTTCACTGCCAACCTCTTCTTTTCGCCTCTCCTGCAGAGGAGCCAAGGGCTTTTCTTGGGACACTACCCGCTCCCGTTGCGGCGTCCAAAGAGGAGAGACAGCGGGCACCAGGACCGGGTCATGATGAACAGGATCAGGTTTGAATTTAACTCGTTATTTTGTCTTTTTAAGTTTGATAAACTTTGGTGATTGGCTTTATTTTGTTGTTCTGGAGAAGGGCCTGAGAATTGCCTGGCAATACAAGAAGTACTTTGGGGAGCAGCAATTTTCTGATGCTCACAATAAAGGTTAGTTTGTTAACTTTATGCAGAAAGCTGCATTTTTTCTGCTGAAATCCTGCTGCTTGATTATGAAGTGTTTCATGTTTTTTGGTACCTTTCTTGATGTTGTTATTTGGTATTGTTTTAAACTCTACCATATTTTCCTTATATCAGACTAACCAGAGCAAATAAAAATGTTCTATTTTTGTATGCCCTATTGATGAATCATGAAGATGAAGATTTTATAACTTAGATGCAAATTAACGTATGGTTACTCAATGGAGATTAATATCCATATGTTCTTTTTTATTTGTATTCAAGAAGTACATTGAAAAGACATGTTAGGCCAAGGATTTTTGGTGAGTGACGAGATATGGATAAGAATTGAGAAAAAAGTGTGCTTTTGATGGATGACAAAAAATAATTAACATTGAGAAATCAATTACATAGTAAGCTAAATTTTAGGTCGAAGTACGACTTATGATGATTATATAGTAAAATAGGTTTTAAAGAAGGAGAAGATGGGTTATATAAATCAATGCAAGAGGAAGGAGATCTAGACACTTTAATCAAGTCATGCATGGTAAAAGCGAGGATAATAAGATGTTGTAATATGAATAGATCAAGAGAAGAAGTGTTGTTCTATTTTTAAAAAATATTGAACTATACTTAAGATAGAAAATTCTGTAGAAGAGCAAAATGTTTGAAATTTTGAACTCTATGTTAGATTTATTCAGAGCAATTGAAATTAAGTTAGATTTAAAGGTAAGCTATAATTTAATATGAGGTACCTATTGAGAATAATTGGAGATAATAGAATAACATGATGAGTTAATCCTGCTTTAATCTCAAAGACTTAGACGATGCCAACTTACCCGGGAGAATATTTTGAGGCAATAATTAAGAAAGAGATATTTGGATTATGGTAATTACAAGGGAATTAATCTGGCAGGTCTTGTAGTGGTGTTACTGGATACTGTAAGGAATCAAAGGCTAGTGAATTTATCAGTTTAGTTTTGTACCTGAATGATCGGCAAATTTTGTTCTACCACAATTAGAGTTATAATTAGATACTGCTATTGATGAAATAATGTGGAAACTAATGCTTATGATGAGTACTGTGAGATTTGATTTGTTTGCTAAATATAATGAGATAGTGAGTAGTATTAGAAGTAATTTTGGGGTTAAAAATGATTTTTTAATCAATTAGATTGCATCAAGGATTAACAAAGTCTTAAGCGAGGCATGTAAAAGATACGCAAGATGACATGAATTAGTTGCCCTTTGTATATGCCATTATTATGATATGTACTGTTTCTTTAAGACAATAAAAGTTAGAATAATGGATAAAATTTTATATGTGATGTGCATATCCAAGAATTAAAGCCTTTATAGTAAATTTTGGCCTTAAGATCACTAGAGTGTAAGGCATAGAAATATGCTATAGTATTAAAATAGAAGAAACAACCAAATTCATAGATTTGTGATTTAGGGGGATCACATTAGCATCGAGCTGGATCATGGATAGTTGAATTTATAGAAAACATTGGAATTTTTTCTTGATGTATCGAAACCTTCTATTTTTACTTGATTCTTCCAATAGCTTCTTATTTTGGGTCATTTGAAGGTTGTAAATGGGACCCTAGATAATGTTGAACAATGAATATTAAAATATAATTTTAGTTTTTCTCTCGCCATGTATTTGGTTGTTGGATCTGTGTTCTTTGAGTTTTTCAAAATTGGTGGTATCATTATGGAATTGTGATTTGGTCAGAATGTTATTATATTGATGTTTTTACCATAAAAAGACCGTCTTTGAACTTCTGCAACTATTAACTTCAATGTCAAAGTAATCCTTAGAGTACTAGCTTGCTAGTTTCATAGTTGGACTTAGATAAAATTTTTTTTTCTTATGTTTCTTTTTTGGTAAATTTCATGTCAATGAAATATGCTCATGATGTATGGTGTGTAAGATAAACTGCACAAAAACCTGGAGAAGATTGAGGAGAAAAGATGACTTTGTGGTATTATCTATGGGAAAGTTTGTTTCTACTATACTAAAAATGGCAGAAAACAAGCATCATATGAAAGAAAGCTATTCCTGTTTCACTGGTTGTTTGACTTTGCGCTTTTAGGGACATTCGCCACTTGATGAAAATAAAATTAAATCCTTTGCTGCGTGCAGATTCTAAGCAGGAATTCGGCAACAACTTTGATCTGCGCAAGTCTATTGAAAGGCATATGCTGAGTGCACAAAACGTTGACTGTATATCCATTCAGAAATTTTCAAATCTTGCACCTCTTCGTGAACGCTGCTCCTCATTTTTATCTAAACTACCTGGGTAGGTACCAATTTTATATATGGGAGAAAATTTGTCTGATAATTATTTCCTTATATCACATTTTAACTAAATTGGGTGTAGTGAAACTGGAATCTGTGTAATGATTACTTTGCAAAATCATAACATTATCAACTATTACGTAACTTTTTGTATAAGTTGTTGATAGAGTTCCCCTAAAAATATGATTGCTTGTGTTTATCACCGTCCTTTCTTTCTACTGTCCTTCTAATTTATTGTTTCAAAAGAGCATTTCTACTTTATTTTTATAAAGCTTAAATTAACAGAGTTTGAAGTTTCTACATGGGTTTCCTGTGATTAGTTTATTTCCTTGGGTTTTGCCTTTTCTGCTCCACCTGTATCCAGAATCATAGAGAGACATACGGAAAAGGAAACGGAGTCGTAATATTGTATGCTAATACTGTTATTAGTGCTTCCCATTTTGGTTTGTGTACCCTAATGATCTTGGTCGTACTTTGTAACTATTAAATCCCAGCTATCCCTTGTCCCTTGATCCCAAGGCCAACATGGGGATTCATGGGAGGCTCACCTGGATCACGCTGTTAAATCTCAACCGTCTTTTGGCCTTTGATCCTACGGCCAGCATGGGGATCCATGGGAGGCTCACCTGAATCACGTCAATCTCCTTCTATATTTGGGTGGCTAATTTAGGAAGGATTATATTAATGTAATTATGCATGATTTTGTAGTTATTTGTTTCTTTTTTAAAATATTTTGTATAGATCTATAAATAGGGATAGTTTAGTATAATAAAATAAAGCATTTCCCTCTTCGATTCTTTGAATTTAACAGTAACCAAATTTATTTCACAGTTGTTGACTTGAGGCTGCTCCAATCGTTCTTCGGAATTATTATATTATAAGATTAAAACTTAATACCTTAGTTAATTTGTATGGTTTATAGACCAGCCATGCTTTTGTGGTTTTATGATGAGATTATTTTCCAGTAAGCAGTTTCTGTTTATGCTAATCAGTATCCCTACTGTCGGATCACATTTTTTGAATTACCTCATTTTAGGTTTCCCATTGCAGAAATGGCGCTGGACTTGCTGGTCGTATAGCTATACAATCACTATGCGCTCCACAATGTGGATTCTCTGTGAGTGTTCATTACTTCTATTCAATTCCACAGCTTATACAATGACTCACTAAACTAAATGATCTTTTTTTTTTCACCAAAAGGTTTGCTTCTGTTAGGAAACATGTTCTCTCTCAGGCATTATTCAATGTTACGTATTTTTATGTTCCATTTACTTCTATGGATAAATTATTGTAGGATTGGGATATGGTTTCCTTTGTCAGATCTTTGCGAGCAATGCTGCGATATTCCAAAACAGTTGCTATCATAACTTTCCCAAGCTTTATTCTTCCACCTTCCTTCTCTAAGAGATGGCAGCACTTGGCTGACACGCTTCTTTCTGTTAGAGCTATTCCAGGCATACTCTTCTGCTTACATCATATTCATGATTGTTTTCTTGACAAGTTGCAGATTTAATTACTAATGTTCTTTGAGTTTTTGTAAATTTTTTCATTAAATAGACGAGGACAAGGATTTGGCTAAGCTCCTGACTGGGTACCAGGACATGGTTGGCCTTTTGCATGTGCACAAAGTGGCTCAGATCAGTTCTCAGGTATCTTCTTGTGCTTGCATCTTGCCTTTAGTTTTTGACACTTATTCTACTGAATGCCTTGGGTTTTTTTTCCCAAAAATTAAGTAGGTGTATGATAGGACTTGAACCCAGAAAATAATAAAATTTTCACTAAAACAACACCAAAAGATGGGAAACACTAATTTCAACACCCTCAAATCAAAGAAAACAGCAAATACAATGCACCCGTACAAGAAAACAGCAAGACAACCCTTAAAAACAGAGAACAAAAACACTACAACTTAATACGGGAAAGAAATATAACTTTAATATACTCTTCGAGAGGTAGATTTACTCTTCCACATAAGAATATCCTTGAAACCTGCTCTAGACAGCAATAGTTGCTCCCCCTTTTTCTCCAAACTGCTCTCTAGAAAAATCATCCTGAACCCCCCCTGAGCCCGAGAGATTATTCTATGCGGACACCGGACGGAGAGAACCGTCCGAATTTGCTGCGCTTTTGAAAAAGCGCAGTAAAAGGGCTGCAAATATTCAATTATAAATGCGTTTTTACTGTCCTTTTGCAAAAGCGCAACAAATTTTCAATTATTTGATAAATATTAAATATTTATTGCTCTTTTGCAAAAGCGTAGCAAAAAGTCAACAAAAGTGTAATAAATACAGTCGGTTCTTTCTGTTCGGTGTCCGCACAGAATAATTAGTCTATGAGCTCTCTAGCATTACTCCCTCCTAAGTTTTCCCCTTCTTTGATAGGTAATTAATATTGAGTTGGGCCCCACATTTGGCTTCCCCATGCTACCGCCCACTTGGCTCCCCATGCTGCCCCCTTTTCTTGCTTGGGCTCCACATTTGGCTTCCCCATGCTGCCGCCCACATGGTTGTTCTCTATGCTGCCCCTCTTTACTCGCTCCGCCTCCCCAACCCCGGTGGGCCTCACGGGCTTAACAGTGTAGAACTACTTTCTTCAATGTATTTTTATAGTGGCAGTAATCTGGTGGCTATAAATGCGACACTTTTCAACATGCTTGTGAGCTTGGTTCAATTACATAGAATTCCTAGCTCGAAATTTTGGCCAATCCTTGATTTTGTAAGCTGTGCAACGTCATAATTTATGTTTCTGATGGGATCTATTTGGAGGTTTTAGTGCAGCGATGATCAAGGCATAAGCATTGACAATCAGTAAAGCAGAAGTTTCTGGACATGAGGAACAAAGAAATGCCACTTTCTCAGTTCTTGTTCATATCTTTTACTATTGTTGTTCAGTCGAGAAACATTGCTTATGAATCCAAGATTTCTATAATAGTGACAAAAATAAGCATTGGTTCAGGTCCTTAATTGAAAAGCAAGCAATCATAAAATTCACTTCGTATAGAATTTAGGTTTCGTTTGGAACAGCTTTCTTACTGCTTCTTTAAGCAACTTTTTAGTATAAAAATTAACATTTTTGTACTAAAAAGCTGCTTTAAGAAGTAGTAAGAAAGCAGCCCCAAACGAAGCCTTAATCAAATATAGTGTTTTTCAGATTGTGATATAATCACTATAAACTGAAATGCAGGTTCCAGTCATTCTGGAGGCAAGCACATTCTCATTAAAGCTGCAGCGGCGTAGATCATTGGTCCTGGAAAGGTTGAATCAGGCTCCGGTGGAAGGATCAAGTGGGACTTCCTATGGAACTGCTGGCCCTTGTTCTGGATCATTGAAAGGTTCTTCCATTGATTTCTAGCATATGAAATCCTAGTAGCCCAAGGATTTCTTTTCAGCAGGACATGTCAATCTGAAGAGTGATTCAAGTAATCTTTGTCCTTGTTACTTGCATTTGTGCATTTTATCACTTCTATAAAGATTTGATGCCGTTGTTGTATTCTCTTTAGGGGAAGCTAATCTTGGGCGGGTTCTTGTTGTTTAAGCTGACGCTTGGTAAACAAATGAGTTTACTGTTCATAGTTGACTCATTTATTTATCGAGCTGAACATCAGTTGTTTGAAAACATAAATTTACCCCACCGGGCTTAGCTAGCTTGGTGGGCGGACTTGGTTGGGAATCCCCCAACCCACATTCGATTCTCCTCTCAAGCGGCACGACTCCTCAAGTTAGGAGAAAATATGTGTGGTCCGGCACCTGTGGGGTTGTTTGCCGCTAGGCCCGTCGAGGGATTATTTACTCCGCCAAGATTCTTTTTCGTGGATGGCAGCAGGTTGATACTTCCGTTCCCTTAAAAAAAACATAAATTTACTATATAATAATAATAATAATAATAATAATAAGTTTAAATTAGATATGAAAATTTTAAGTTAGATATTTTAAAAAAATTAAAACTCTAAAGTTTGATGGTATTTTTAAATTAAAAATTTTTGACCGCAGATAAATAATTATTGCTCCACCTTTGACTAGAGCTGTGATAGTAGGATATGCTGTTGTTTCTTAAAAAAATGGCTGTTTTGACAGACGAGAAGCCTGGACGTGTAAGAATGAATTTCTGAATACTGAGAAACTTGTTTAAATTGAGCAGCTGAGCGACCTCTTTCGATAATCTTTATGTACCTTTTATATTTGAATAATGTAATGATATTGAAAAGTTGTTTCTTTGAATATTGATTGTATAAATTGTATATACTCTTTATTTGTGGCAGTGGCTGGAACTTTTATTCGGTCCAGTGAACGTACGCTCCTCTACGTTCGGCCATCAATGTTTTAGCGCCACGTAGAATGAAGAGAAGACGCCGACCCGACCCGTTGTTTTTTGGGTTCTTGCACGTGCATTTTTTTAAATCCTTGACGAGCCGAACAACATCCCATCTTCTTTTGGATATATTTCAAATATCTAGCAATACCGAGTTGTACCTAGTTTTTTCTAACAATATCGAGCAAATACCTAGCAATACCGAGCAAATCTCTAGAATACCGAGCAAAGATCCTGAGCCAATATACCAAGTTGTATCGATTGTACTGAGTTGTAGAAAAACTCGGTACAACCAGGTATTTGATCGTATTGGCTTCAGCATAGCTGCATTTTCATTTTGCAAACAATACTAAGCAAATACCTGAGCATTACGAAAAATCGCGAACACAGCATTCCCGGTTCCGCTAGGGTCAAGTCGTCGGGCCGCGCGGTAAAAAGTAAGAGCAGTGGCGACAATGTTTTTGTGGCCGAACGTAGCTATCGTAGTCAGAGGACGTAATATTGTTCCAGTGGCTGACCGAGAAATTAATAGATTAAGAAGTTTTTTTTTTTGATATTTTTTTAATATTTTTAAATGAAAAGCAAACCCTAGACAAGACTAAGCCTCCCGGCGATGGTAGAAAATGACTTATCTTAATTATGAATTATCTATTAGCTTAAATGATATAAATTGAAATATAAATTAAATAATTAGATGTTTTAGTAATGTAAATATTATTATTAATTAATAATGAATTTGTTGATGTATAGATATAGTAGTATAGAATTTATTAAATAACACTTAAAAATTCTTAAATAATTATTATGTTAAGTAGTAGTATAATAGTTAATATTATTGGTGTAATTAGTATTCAATTTGATTTTGTGTGATGTTTATTATCTGATTTATAACTAACTTGTTGATGCAATTAACATGTATTCTTCATATTATATATAATCTATATAAAATTAAAAATTGTATTAAAACAATTTCTTAAAATTTAATAGGATTTAATATTTATCATACCAAACAGTTTTAGGATTTACATAATCAGAATTTATAAATTTGATTACCTGATATTAAATCTCATTAAATTAAATACTACTTGTTTGCCAACTCTATCAGTAAATAAATGTAAATCAATTAACATTTATATTGTATAAAAATTAAACAATAATTTAATAATTTTAAGACTTAATATTAAACAAGTGGGAATAACATACTTACTATTAATTTTTATTTATTTATATAGCTAAACTCTAAATCTTTTTATTTACTTAAAGAATAACTTTATTATCTAAATGCTATCAAATAAATATATTAAATGTATATTTTATTTTAAATAAGTTAATAGTAATAATGATTTTATATAATATATAGATTTAAATATTATATAAATAAACATAATGCTAAATTTCTAAAGTCAGAGAAATTTATGATATATATTTGTAAATCCTCCCACAAAAAAAAATCATCATGCGCGATATCTTTTTATTTATCTTCTCACAATATTTACTCGCATCGGATTATTCTCCTCCATATTGTTTGGGCAATCAAACGAAGTCGTGACGGTCCCAAGGGCTGAATCCGCCGCTTGAAATTTGCATGGAGGCTCGTATTCTGGTGTGAATGTGGAAGGAAGAGGGAGAGCCGATGCAGGAGGATCGAGCCGAGGAATTTACAACTATGGATCACGGTTTGCTGCTGCTGCTCTCTCATGCTTGTTCACATTATTTATTTATTTATGTTTTCTGAATGTCTAAACATTGCTGAAATTGGCGTCTTTGCGTGGACTGATGAACGATTGAGAATCGATAGTGTTTTATGTTATTTCTGATGGGCAGGAGAAACATTTCGAATTTCGTGGTTTAGGTTTTAAGAGTTTGTGGGGCATGGCGTTGGTTGTACTGTTCCCAGTTAGAAACAGTAACCTCAACAAATTGGTTTACTTCTTTTTCATTAAGATTCGAAAATATCATATAATTCATGAAATGCTGAGCTGCAGCGTAAATCTGCCAGAGATTTGGGCTGTCAGCTTCTACATACTTTCTTTTCTCATGAAGTCCAGTAGCCAGGCAGTTATGAGTGCTAAAACTTGTGAAAAATTCTCCCAAAATTTTAGTTTTCAGTGCTTGCGGGATTCTATTGAGTTTGTAGTTTTTAATTTGATTGCAAGTGCTGCTAAATCTGTTTAGTGTTGTTTGATTAATGTTTCACAATACGGTTCCATTGCAATACATATTTTTCTCTAAGAATGTTGATAATTATTCTGGATATTTGAAATTATTTTACTTAGGGATGCAATTAAAGATTTGATGTGGGGAAGTTAGCGTTACTGACTACTTAAACTTGCACTCTTTATACGTTTTAGATTAGAATTTAAGAAAAAATGGTAGTGCTTACAATAATTTAATAATTTATATTGACTATTCAAACTTGCACTCTTTATAAGTTTTATATTAGAATTTAAGAAAAATGGTAGTGCTTACAATAATTTATATTATAAAACACAAGCAAATCTTTATTTAGAGAGCAATTCAAGGTTGATACTTTCATTTCAAGTTGAGAAACTGCATATCATTACATCACACAGATTTGAGATATTGGAGCAACCTATCCTTAGAAGTACATAAGCAAAATATTGCTCTTGTATGATGTCCTTTCTCCTCTTTGTGCAGTGGACTCCATTGAAGATAGAGTTAAATCATTATTAGAAAGTTCTGAAGCTAACTTCAATGCTTGGGTGCTGCTTGTAGCAGATGTTGAGAATACTTCACCAGTAAGTGTTGGTTCTTTAGTCATGCTTGTCGAACATCTGGATTTTTCGTATGTTTTGTTTATAAAAAATCTTCATGTTATTGAATATTGTTCCTCAGCTTAGCTTCACGCACTCTGAGTGACTAACTGGAAGTTAGTCATTAAAATGTTTACTCATGGCGCGCTAAGCTATACAATATGACATGAGTTTAATGCCACGCCTCACATTTTATATACTGATAAAGCTAAGTAGTTTTAGAATATTTCCCTGAGTTTGGGTTGATATTCTTTTGACTCTATCATTTGGAACCCTAATCTGAAGTCTTATGTAGGATCTTCAAGGGTTTTATTTGAAATGTAGGTACTTTCGATAGTTTGGTTATCTTTCTGTTTCCCTTCTTTGGTTTTTCTTTTCTGCATGCATTTGGGTGGTGATTTGTGGGTGTGTGTGTGTGGTGGGGTGAAGGGGGATAAGATGCCTTACTAAGTAGTATTTGCCTTCCACTAATTCAGTGTGAAATGAATTATTAGTTTCGGATATCAATCTTTGATGTGTAGACATCTATTTTGTAAAATGCTTGGTTAAGTCATTTCCTGTGTAATGAGCATAGCCTAGTGTTTACTTATTTATTTTTCATGATAACATGTCACTATATTTAGTGTATCACAATTCTTTTATATCATGATACTTTTAATGTTGCATAACCTTTGGCTGAACACCTGATAATGTCTTGCCATGATGATGATAGGACGACATACAAAAGATCTGCTTTGTCTATGATTCCTTTTTGTCAGAGTTTCCATTATGTTATGGATATTGGACAAGATATGCGGGGCACAAGGCACGCATTTGCACATTGAATGAGGTGGATGAACTCTATGAACGGGCAGTGAAGATTGCTTCATACTCTGTTCATCTCTGGCTCAGCTATTGTAACTTTGCTATATCATCATTTGAGGATCCTTCTGATGTTAGACGGTAATTCAGATGACTGATATGTTTTACTGTTGCTTTTAAGGGGCATATTTTTGACCTTCAGTGTGTTATGCAGACTTTTTCAGAGAGGTTTATCTTATGTTGATAAGGACTATTTGTGCCATCTGCTATGGGATAAATATATCGAATTTGAGTATTGTCAAAAGCAGTGGGATCGACTAGCTCATATTTATATTAACACTTTGAGGTTTCCTACGAGAAGGTTGCAAAGCTATTATGAAAGGTATCCAACTGGTTTCATTTTCGATTGCATTTTAGTTTCATAACCTGGATGGCATTTCTTCTTCCACTAGTTAGTGTGTTGAAATTTGATGAAGTTCTAGTTTAAATGAAGTTATGTGCTTTTATTGTACTTCACAAATATGTTCATCATCCTTTGCTTCATATCGGGCAATCATATTTTATTTTAAGTTGATATGATTCTGAAGGATTAGATCTGAAGTTGGTTGATTGTGCATTTTGCTTCTGTAGTTTTGACCTTATTTGAACAATTTTATTCCTTTGTATTTATTCTTTGTTTTAGCATGTGCTCAGATGGTAGATCTTGATTGTTTTCAGCTTTAAGAAATTGGTTGCTCTGTTGGAAGAACAGATGGGATCCCAAAATGCAATATCCACCCCACCAGAAGCTGTTCCTGACTGTGAAATGACACATGTGAAGGGCTGTGGGTATTCGGAAATCTCAGATGCTGTGGATCTTCTTAGTCAATGCCTTGCTGATCCTGAAGATTTGAAGAAATATTTATCGATTGGTGAGCTATTGCACCATAAATCTAGTCAATTAGATAAAAGTATAAGCTGCTTTGAGGCTCATATCCAGAGACAATATTTTCATGTCAAGCCACTTGATGAGTTCCAGCTTGAGAATTGGCATGAATATCTTACTTTCGTTGAGGAGCAAGGAAATTTTGATTGGGTAAAAATTGTCTTGATGCTATACCTTTTGGGCGTTTCTTTTCTTGGCTATCTTCTGAAAAGCTCCATTTTTCTATTTACAGACTGTTAAACTTTATGAGAGATGTTTAATTCCTTGTGCTAATTACCTAGAGTTCTGGATTCGTTATGTGGATTTTGTGGATGCTAACGGTGGTAGAGAGATAGCTAATGATGCACTTGAAAGAGCATTGAAGGTCTTCTTAAAGGTAACTAATTTAATAATTCTATATGCTTGTTATAAAATTGATGACTAGTAGGTTGCGCATCAAACTTTCGATCTAATGGTTACGTAGGTGTTTGGCTTTTGATTTGGTTATGTGTCGCTCTAATGAATGGAATATTTTTGGCTTTCTGCTCAATATTGGTGCAGTTAGTCTTAGGTTTCGTTTGGGATGACTTTCTTATTGTTTGGGATGACTTTCTTATTGCTTCTTAAAGCAGTTTTTTAGTAAAAAATTAAAATTTTTGTACTAGGAAGTTGCTTTAAGAGGCAGAAAGAAAGCCGTCCCAAACGAAGCCTTAATCTCATTCCTGTGATATTGTATATGCTTAGATTATCAGTTTTCATATTATTAAAAATATGAATGTATGAACTAAGGATTGGGGGGAAAAATACATTTCATTCGTATAAACTTCATTGCCTGGCAAATAGGCTGTGTTGAAATGCCATTCCGCATATATGTCCGTAATTTTGCTGCTATGGTGTATATTTTGCATTGCTACAAGTGTCTGGGTAATTTTTATAGTTTGAGTGGGTATTATGGCACCTAATAGGTGTTAGCATATTATGCTGTGCAGTCGCTACCCATTTATGCTGCCAATGTTACTTCTACCGCTGCAAAATCTGAGATCTTAATGATGCAGCTTCTAATGAACAAAATATTCTTTTATATTGTGTATAATATCCTTGGATTTAATAAAGTTATGCATGTCATCTCCAATACTTTCCAGCTGCAAGTTGCCTTTCTTAAAATAGTTGTGGGTAGAATTCCTTTGTTATTGTTTCAGCTATAATTTGACTTGAGCATCATTTCATAATAAACTGCAAAAAATGATTCTCTTTATATGGAGAAATTATTACGTGTGGAGTCCGTCCGGACTCCAATAAAAACATGACATGTGTCTTTGTACGCAGTATGTACATAATTTTGTAATTTGTATATATTGTGTACAGTTGTACACACTGTGTACAAAGACACATGTCACATTTTTATTGGAGTCCGGACATAACCAGACTCCGCACGCAATAATTTCTCCTTTATATGTGCATGTATATCCACAACGTTGATAAGGGACACATGTGGATTATAATTTCGGTTGCTTGGTTTCTGTGCCAATCTAAATTACATTATGGACAGTTTTTGAGAACTAACGTAAAAACTGTAAGCTTTTTTACTTGACATTCAGCAAACAGTAAGAGAAAGGATGGTGAAACGGAGAGAATGTTGAAGAAACTGATTTCTTACCGTCCGTATGTTTCCATGGTTCGATAAATATGCAGAATGTGTAACTTATACTGGTTAAAGCAATAGTTAGTTACAATGAGACAGATATAGCAACAGTTGGACGGATAGGGTAAAAACATTCGTTGTATACTGATGGTGAGGATGAACTCGTACAATATAAGTCTGCTCCATTAAGCTGCAACAATTGCAGCGAATAAAAGTTGAGGTAGAAAGGTAAATAATGCAAATGTTATCAATTATCATCAGAAGCAACACATTACCAACTGATTCTTAAATTTCTTGCTATCAGCTTTGTGTAAAAGCGAATGTAAATATGTTTTATTTGATAGTTATTAATGCCTCTTGTAAAGAAAAGTGTGGGCTCCGAAAATTCGGCCTCGGCCTCCGTCCGCGACTGTTTGTTTGCTTTTTGCTTTTGCTTTTGGCGAGGGAGTTTTAACGGATTAAGTTCCGCGATAAATTTTGGAAGGCAGATGGGTTTGTAGATAAGACACTACCCAGAGATTTCGCTCTGATTTTGCGAGGACTTTATAATCTGAGTTCTGGTTTCCTATAGGCGCAAGCCCCTATAGTTAATTATCTCTCCCGATAACGAGAGAGAACTTTCGATTAAGGCTAGTCATCAATCAAATACTTAGAAATACGTGTTATCTGGCATATAGTAGCAGCATGAGTTTTTGGAATAGTTGGAGAATTTGGGAATTTGGAGGATTGGAAGATTTGGAGATTTGATATTTAAAATTGAAAATTTCACCATCTTGCACTTAAAGCTGATGGTGGGGGAATGGATGATAGACCCGATCAAGATCCCATGGTTTCGATGTCCCGGGCCATCATGGTCTCTGGTCTACTTAGTCAGAGGAGGTAGTTGACCCAACCTGACAGAAGGATTCTTGTCGGCAGCCATGATTTGCTTCGTCCAAGGGGACCTTGTAGATCTTGGGTGGGTGCACCTTAGCTAACAGAGGGCTTTGTGCCCTATTGATCATATCCTATTGATTCATATATCAAGGATTTGATGCCAATAAGAAACGTATTGGCTCTGGCCATAACCGGTATTTATGGTGCCATTTGGCGTCAAAACCACTCGGTTCAGAGGGCCTCGGGTCATAACCGTTTATCCTGCGGTGCCATTTAGCGGGAAAGCCTCAGTTTAGAGGATACGTACAACGTCCTTATTGGCAGAAGATTGTTTGAGAATGGATCATAGTGATATTTTTAACTAGGCATTTGACTCTATGTGAGCTGAAGTAAATTTTAATTTGTCCAACATGGCAAACTATTGCGGAGTGTGAATGATTTTGCTTTAAGTGTTTAATGGTTGATTTTCAAATTTTAAATAATTTTGGAATTGAGATTTCTCGTGGAGTTTAGATTTTGATGGGCATTTGGATATTTGAGAGACATTTGAAAATGTTTGTGAACCCCTCCGGTTGAGATAAACATTCAACACGGCCATCATCGGGGTAAAGGGGGTCATTTCCATTTGATTAAACCTTGTCGACTCCGTTGAGTTATCGACGGAGGATCGGGTTTCATAGGCTTCATGCATTTGTTTGTGAATTTTCTTTGTTAAAGGCCTTGAAGACCTGATATGAATGTAAATAAACATTCCAGTCAATTTCGTGATCGCATATTTATCCGATGATTCGAATCCTGTCTACTCTTATTTACCTGCTTAGAAGGATCGGGTTTCGTAGGCTTTATGCTCTTATTTAGTGAAGTCTTTTGATTATAGACCTTGAAGGCCTAATATGAATGCATTTAAATAAATACACCGGTCATAACAATCGTGTATTTGTTTGAAGGTTCTAATCCTGTCGACTTCTATTGATCTCAATAGAAGGATCGGATTCGAACTTGAATTCACTTATCGACCCGCGCAGCATCCCTAGCGTCACGTGTGTACCAATAATACGCTCGCCGGGGCCCATGCGGGTCGAGATTGTATTTTCCCCTTTAGTATACCTATGTGTATACAAATTATAGTGCACGTGCAGGGGTATTTTGAAATAATTTAGTTGTGTAGGTAATTGCCATTTGAATACACAATATTTTATTTGAGAGCTTATACGCGCCTTCTGTCCGCTAGTACGAGTGTTACGAATCCGGTGACGGAACGTTGTAACTTATAGACGCATTCTGTCTTCTTGCATGAGTGTTGCAGATCTGGTGGCCGTGCCTTGTAGATTGTAAATGCATTCTGTCTGCTTGTATAAGTGTTGCAGATCCGGTGGCGGTGCATTATAGATTGTAGACGCCTTCTGTCTGCTTGTATAAGTGTTGCAGATCCGGTGGTAGTGCATTGTAGATTGTAGACGCCTTATGTCTGCTTGTATAAGTGTTGCAGATCCGGTGGCGGTATCTGAATGTCACGAGGCATCCCATTATCTTAATGTTGACTCCCCCTTTCTCATTCACCGGGGAGGCTCTTCTTGAGATTTTGTGACCACTACTTTGAAAGGGACTCTTTTCAGGATCATTAGTGTAGTAGATTTGTTACTTTCGGTGTTTGTGGACATTCGAGCCGTTCTCTTCTTAAGGATAGGACCAAGAATAAATTTTGGAATACCTGGAAGTTTAGTTTTAATTTGTTCAAACATCCCTTTCATTCTGCTAGAATGTGTCTTTCTCCGTACGTCGAGTCGCCCTCGTACTTGACGTACTCATAGATCTTAATCACCGTTGTCGTAGGTGACATCTATACTTGTGCCCACAGTGGTTCGTTGTACCTACGATATATCCACTGTTGTTATCCACAAGCGGCTCGTATTCATTTGCAGGGACCCGTTGTATCCACTACGACCTCCTGGAAGTGTTCGTAGAAGAGCCATTATTCCTGCATCATATCCACCTTTCATCAATCTCAGGTGGTTATTGATTGTACTTGTTTGCAAAGATGGGTCTTCTACTATCAAATGCTAGAATTGCCATCTCAATCTACAAACAAACTGTTGCTTGTGTCTCAAGTTCTTCGTTGTTGCATATTGAAGGCTTTTATACTCTTTATAGTGGATTGACATTATTTGAACTTAATTGAATATTATTATTCATATGCATTGAAAGCATTGTTGCATTCGTATTTTGGCCTTCATTAATGCATGTGGGATATACTCGTACATTCTACAGTTAATAGTTTTACTTGCAAGGCTTTTGACCTCGTAGGAACTATTGTAGAAGTCTACTACATCTGTCGTTGTATAAACCAGTATCATTCATTGTGTGCTTATGTATTCAAGTATTAATGATTGGTCTTTGTTTGTGATTGCTCAGATGTTATGAATTGAATATTGCTCCTTATTTGTATACATCGAGGTCTTGTTCGTCACGAGTCCCCTGCTTGTTTGCTTGTATTTGTTCGAATGCATTGAATTGTTGTTTAGCATTTGAATTTTGATCTTGATTGTGCATTTTAGGATATAAGTTCCACTTCTTGTAGTTCAATTCAAGTCATGTTCTCTATTGTTCGAACAAGTCCGCACATTTAGTTCAAGTTATATGCATTCATGTCCACGTATGGGTCCTCTGCAAGTCTGCTCAAGTGAGGTCTTCTTATTGTCCAAGCTTTATGCACTTCAGTGAAAATTTCGGCAGCACCCCAGCATATCCCCCATTTGAGAGAAATGTAGTAGAGCTGGGCCTTCCCACCACGCTACTCGAGCGTGTATGATAGGTGTCCTTAGACACCGCGGCCGTACATCTTTTCATCCCACCACGCTACAAGAGCGTGTATGGGGCCTTCAACAGTACCGTACGAGAACACTAGTGGCTCTCCCCTTTTCTTTTTTCTTTTTTTTAAACAATAATAATAATAATAATAATAATAATAATAACAATAATCATCATCATTATTATTATTAATATTATCATTACCATTATTATTCACTAATGACAATAATAATACAAATAAAAATAAAAAATCCCTTCTCTACTATTCTCTTTGTTTGAGAGATTTACTGGATTTGGCCGAAGGAGGACATGAAAGGGGACAAGTTAACTTCACGACAGCTCCCTCCTGCTGTCTCTTATGATCATGTGTGACTTCCGATCCAAACAGGAAGGGAGAGTCGTTGAATGAGCGAAGTTGATCGGCGACCAAGGAGCCCAAGAAGCGCCGAGCTCCCGTTGTTCTGTCCGATCAAAATGTCGTGACTTCCTGTCGGATAGGAAGGAGTCGTTGAAGGGAGCAAAGTCGGACAACACGGAGGAGCCGAAGAATCGCGTGTAAGGGTGAAAATTTCCTCTATATCGGGCGAGCTCCCGTCGTTTTGTCCGATCAAAATGTCGGAACTCCCGAAACGACGGGATGGGAAGGTCGTTGAAGGTGTGGAGTTGAACGACAACCATTAAGGAGCCGAAGGAGCACGCTGAAGGAAGGGAGTTGCTTTCACAGTGAGTAGAGCTCCCTCCCTAACTCCCGATCAAAGTGTCGTGGCTTCCGACTCAACGGGAGAGAACGTTGTTGGAGGAGGTCTCGGGCTAGGGCAGGGGGATTTCGCGAGAGGGGACCGAATGGAATCGCTCCACCCAGCGGCTTTCATCTCTTCGGCATTTAACCGTGAGCGGAGACATGCGAAGAAGTGACGAGACGCGACGTCGAACGTGCACGAGATGGCGACGACGTGCGATTCTGGCAAGCACAAGATTTTTTTTTGTATGCCGCATTACGGGCCAACAAAAAGTGAAACACATTTAAGGCTATTGATCTCATGTACGGCCATTCTTGCTGAGGTTCTTAGGGACGTATCATCATGCAATTCTTGGTGTCTACATGGAATTTGCAAAATTTAATGTGCGTCTAAGTGGTATTACAGATTGTATTATATCCAACATTGAATTATGCAGTGCCCGTGTTTTTTTAATATTGCATGAAGATTTCTGTTAAGTGAGGTCGTGTTGATTTAGCTTGTACTAAATAATTTGTGGTTTTTAGCATAATTATGGGGTTTTTTTTTATGTTTGACGTTTGTCTCCAATAATTTCCGGCTATGTATTATAATCCAGAAATAGTTAAGGATAAGGTTTATAGAGGTTCCAATCATGATTTGACTAATTTTTCATCACATCATATTTTTGAGAAGAAGTTAATTTTTTTTTTCTATTCATGGTATTTTCCTGTCTGTGGGGTAGCAGTGTTGTAGATCAATATCTTCTAAATTTTTTTGTTTGTCAAGAGGCATCATATTGTTATGTTGTATGATGATGGAATGTTTTTTTTTTCTGCTGCTAAATTGTTGGAGTACTTTGGACCCTGCTTTATAAATCCTTGTTTTTAATTTATTTTTGCTTAGTGATACTATATTAGCTATATCTGACCATGCCTATCGATTTTTATTCTGTTTCCTTAAGTTTATTTGATGTGAAACTACTAGGAGTTACGATCGAAATTAAATAGAGAATTATTAAAGTTTGCTTTTATAAGTTCATGTGAATCATGCAAGATAGATTAAAGAATTAGAAACGTGAACTTTGCTTAGGCCAAAGAGATGCACTTGAGATTAACCAATGGACTTGCAGTCCTGACATGTAGTAAAAATAAATTCCGGTGCATGGTTTTAAGTATAGTTAAGCTGTGTTTAAAGCATTCAATTATTACTTAATCGTTTTTGCATATGAAACTACACAAATTACCCTTCCTAGAATCCTCTTCCAACATTGTAAGGTATTTTTTTATTGCTTAAATTGATTTGTTGCTCTTAATCTTGACTATTGTTTATTCTTGTATTAAAATTAAAACGTACTTGAGGCATTTACCAATGTTATTTTCCAGCTGATCTTTCACGTAGTCTGAAGAGTGCAAAAATTACAACCACTTGGATAGTAGCATCATTCTCTCTTTGAAATGAACGATTGTATATGTTGTTTTAACCATATTTGTGTTTGTAATCAGAGAATTCCGGCCTTCCATCAATACTATTCTATGTATAAAGAAAAAATTGGTGATAAAGTAAATGCCTGTGCTCCTTTTCTACAAAGTAGTGAAGGTTGTACAACTGTTGCTATTGAATATGTCAGCAGAAGAGCAAACATGGAAAAGCGGCTGGTAAGTAATCCTTTTTTAGCTTCTTTAGATTAGATGGCCAGGTTCTTTGGTTGAGCAGAGTTTATTTATTTTTAACACGGAATGCTTTTTACAATTATAGATTATTTAATGTTCTCCTAAACATCTCCATCAACTTCCATTATCAACAAGGGCGGGTAAAAAAATAAATTCAAATTTGAGTTTTACTAATGCTAGGGCATTTCTAAGAAGCCACACCTTTCCCATTGACCTGACTTAATTTTGTAGATAAGTAGCTAAAAGCTTAGCTTATTAGGATGCCAGCTGTATTAGTGTAGCCTGATTGTGATAAAAACTTGGCAATGATTGACTAGGATGTAGGCATGTAGCCCATAAGTAATGTGGCTTACTTGGTTGTGATAAAAAATAGGCAAGGTTTGGCTAGGATCACTTAATAAGTGATGCACCACAACTGAACATGAATAATGAGCAAGGGTTAGACTATGTATAAAACTAAGATTAGATATGCTATATGAAATTTACTGACTTTGGACGGAAAGACAAGGGAATTAGTGGGTATAATGATTAGTGTTTTTTGTTTGCAAGAAACTAAGTGGCAAGAGGAAAAATCCAAGGACATCGGGGAATGTAATAAGTTATTATTTGTTGTTAAGGTTAATAATAGCAACGGGTTACAATAGGAATGAGTAGTTTATTGGAGAGGATAGTATTACTAGATTTATCAAGTTTTAGTTAAATTTAATAGCTATCATGCTAAGCAATTTTCAAAATTTAATATACTCATGATTTATTAATATGGATTACAAGATTTACTAAACTCTAGTTGACTTAAATCTTGCTTGTAGTCAAACAACTTTTAGTCAAAGTTGAAGACATTGTTAAAACGATGGAAGCACCATTTTGAGAAATTATTAAATGGAATTTTAAGGAAGAAATTATTTTAGAAGAGCATAACAAATTGACCAATGCAGTATATTATAGATGTTACAAACCTGTTTTTGGATTATGATTTTGATGATAACAAACAAATCTTGTTTCACTACGACTGCTTTTTCTCTACTAACTTTTAGGACTCAAAGATCGGACGGAAATCGGAATCAGCTCAAGACTGGGTAGATTAGGGTTGAGTCAGTCTGTAATTTTATTTTTCCCTTTTTGAGTCAATTGTAAATGTTTGAAGTGACTGATGTTAAGTAACCATACACACACACTTGAGAGGTTTAGAATCTCTGGTTTTACTCACATCGGCCAAGACGATATTATTATTGGCCTGGACGATCGAGCTCAAAACAGAAGTTCTAATAAGGATTTCTTGTTAAGGCAGCCGTAATTAACTGATCGGCATGGACGATAGGCTCAATACAGAAAAAATTTGCCGACATAATCAATTTAGGTATTCTATATTTTTGGAAATCGGCCAGGATGATCGTGAGATTGGTCTGGACGATATCACACAATTATGTCTAAATTAATCCAGGAATCAAGTAATTAAGGATGATTGATACGATCACATCATCCTGGACGATCGCAGGATCGGCCAGGACGATCTATTCAAAAAACCCTTAGTTACTCCTGGACGATAAATATCGGCCAGCTTGAATTCAGGGCGATGTTCAGGACGATTTTCCTCTGATTTGAACTGATCGGCCGGGACGATAGTGATATCGTCCTGGACGATCAAGCCAATTTTCAATCGTCCAAGATCATCTTCAGGGCGATACTCTGGCTGATCTTCTGAGATTTGTACTGATCGGCCAGGACGATGTACATATCGTCCTGGACGATAAAGTCGGCAACTTGCAATTAATGAGCTCCTTTGAAGCTCTTCTATTTAAGAGCTTTAGTTCAACGTTTTTGAACATCCTTGGCTGTTGTCTTTACCTGTGAAAACCTAAAGGAGAGAGAGAGGATCTTGTGAGGGGGAGCTTGTGAGGGGATTCACAAGGGGTTACTCCAAGCATGTTCCACTTCTTCTTCCTTTAGTCTCTTTTCCTTGGAAGGGTTGGGGAGGTAAGTTTCAGCAAGTGATCGAGGTTCTCTGCCTGCTTCAGGAGGAAGCAAAAAGAGGAAGGTTCTAGCCTTGCGAGTGTGGCAAAAAGAGGTGTTGTAAAGGCTTCTCCGCCTAGCTGGTGGGCATAAGGAGAGTCAGATTGTAGTGCAATACTGGAGGGCGCCTCCGGGGAGTGGACGTAGGTCGAGTTGACCGAACCACTATAAACCTTTGTGTTCTTATTTTTTACTACTTCCGCACTTAAATTTTCGCATTGTTTGTTTGTGGTTTTTGGTTTGTGATATTGTTGAGCTTTGCTTAAATTTTTAAAATCAATTCACCCCCTCTTGGTTAGTCTTGGGCCAGTTCTATAGGGCTTAACATCCCTATCGAACTTTCAAGTGGTATTAGAGCCTCATAGCCTATGTTTGAAATACAATATCAACTTCAATATCCTGCTCCTCCAACCTCCCAACTCTTCTTTACTCAAACAGTTCCTTCAATAACTTCACAGTACTCGTTCTCCACCCAGGGATGAGGACCTCGGGGGACCGAGGGAGGAGGAGGCTCGCTCCTGATCCTGCTCCTCTTCGCCAGCACTCACAGTTTGCCAGTTAGTGGAGAGATTTGATCGTTGGGAGACCCGTTTCGACGTTACGTTGTTGCAACAGGAGCAACAACATTCTGAGGACATTGCCCGCTACGAGCAGCATCACACAGAGGACTTAGCTCGTTTTGACAGCTGCTTTACTCACTAGTAGCAGCAGCACGACCAGAACATAGCCTGGTTTAATGCTCAGTTTACTAAGCTTGCTATGCTACTTTCAGCAGGCTCCACCACCTCCACCTCCATCTGATGATCTTGGATGCCTCGTTTTTTGTTTTAGTTTCTATTTTATTGGATTGCTTTCTTTTCTGTATTGTGTTTTTCATTGCTTTAGTTTTTTTCTGTTTCCTCCTTTTGAGATGTCAAAAGGGGAGTAGTATGCTTGTACTTGTTTATTATGTTTGTACTTGTTTGGTAAAAAAAAAGCTTGTTTAGTTTTGCATTCTGTTTAGAAATTAATTTTTATTTGTTTGCCATCATCAAAAAGGGGAGATTGTTACCAAACCTGTTTTTGGATTTGTATTTTGATGATAGCAAACAAATCTTGTTTCACTACGACTGCCTTTTCACTGCACTTTTCAGGACTCAAAGATCGGACGGAAATCGGATCAGCTCAAGACTGGTAGATTAGGGTTGAGTCAGTCTTGTATTTTATTTTTCCCTTCTTGAGTCAATTTGTAAATGTTTGAAGTGACTGATGTTAAGTAACCCTACACACACTTGAGAGATTTAGAATATCTGTTTTTACTCACATCGGCCAGGACGTATTATTATCGGCCTGGAGATCGAGTTCAAAAAGAAGTTCTAATAAGGATTTCTTGTTAAGGCAGCCGTAATTAACTAATCGCCTGGACGATAGGCTCAATACAAAAAAAATTTGCCGACATAATCAATTTAGATATTCTGTATTTTTGGAAATCGGTCAGGACGATCGTGAGATCGGCCTGGACGATATCACACAATTATGCCTAAATTAATTCAGGAATAAGAGTAATTAAGGATGATTATACGATCACATCGTCCTGGACGATCGCGTAGTCGGCCAGGACGATCTATTCAAAAACCCTTAGTTACTCCTGGACGATAAATATCGGCCAGCTTGAATTCAAGCGATGTTCAGGACGATTTTCTCTTATTTGAACTGATCGGCGGGCGATAGTGATATCGTCTGGACGATCGAAGCCAATTTTCAATCGTCCAAGCTCATCTTCAGGGTGTAAATTTGGCGCGTCTTTTGAGATTTGCTACTGATCTGCCAGCGACGATGTACATTTCGTCCTTTGAATCGAATAAAGTCTGCAACTTGCATTAATGAGCTCATTTAAACTCTATATTTAAGGCTTTAGTTCAAGTTTTTTGAACATCCTTGGCTGCTGTCTTGACCTGAGAAACTAAAAGGAAGAGAGAGAAGCGGGAGAGAGAGAGAGAGAGAGAGAGGATGATGAGGAGCTTGGAGGGGATTCACAAGGTTGGCTCCAAGAGCTGTTATTAGGTTAACTTCTAGAGTCTGCATTCCTTGGCTGGCTTGTCTTGACCTGAGAAAACCTAAGGAGGCAGAGAGAGCAGGCGAAGCACGACAATGAGTGAGAGAGAGACGAGGCGGATCTTGTGAGGAGCTTGTGAGGGATTCACAAGGGTTGCTCAAGCATTGTTCCACCTTCATTCTTCCTAGAGCCTCTTGTCCCTTGGAAAGGGTTGGGGAGGTAAGTTTCAGGAGGTGGGGGGGGAATCGAGGGTTTTCCGTTTTGGGGGGGGGCCTGCTTTTTCCAGGAGAAGCAAAAGGAGGAAGGTTCTCTACCTTGCCGGGTGTGGCAAAAAGAGGTGTTTGTAAAGGCTTCTCCGCCTAGCTGTGGGGGCTAAAGGAGAGTCACGATTGTAGTGCAATACTCGGAGGGCGCCTCCGGGGAGTGGACATAGGTCGAGTTGACCGAACCACTATAAACCTTTGTGTTCTTGTTTTTTATTGCTTCCGCACTTAAATTTCCGCATTGTTTGTTTTGTGGTGTTTTGGTTTGTGATATTTGTTGAGCTTTGCTTAAATTTTTAAAATACAAATTCGCCTCTCCTCTTGGTTAGTCTTGGGCCAGTTCTATAGGGCTTAACATCCCTAACGAACTTTCAATAGATTGATAAAAAAAAAAAAAGGAAATGGAGTTGGCTTTGAAAATATAATAAAGGCAAAGTTTTAGGTCCACATGAGGTTTCTTGTTGATATTTGGACATTTATCTAGTTACCTAAGAAGTTTGGTTAACAAATTCTTTTAATGGAATTTTATTGACCAAGAGGATGCTTGCTAGGAGAAAAATTATTTTATACCAATATTTAAGAATAGAAGAGATATTCTATATTATAACTTTTATAAAAGAATCAAATTGGGACTTAAATAACCACATTATGAGAGAGAGTAATTGAACGTAGACTTAATAAAATTACATCATTATTGGAGAATCAATTTGAATTTATACCATAATATCACTATTGAAGCAATTTCTTATGTTAGGACAATCAATGCAAAAATACTGAGATTTGAGGAACAAATTCATATGATTTATAAAAGAATCAAATTGGGACTTAAATAACCACATTATGAGAGAGAGTAATTGAACGTAGACTTAATAAAATTACATCATTAGTGGAGAATCAATTTGAATTTATATCATAATATCACTATTGAAGCAATTTCTTATGTTAGGACAATCAATGCAAAAATACTGAGATTTGAGGAACAAATTCATATGATTTTAATTGATTTTGAGATGAAATGTGATTGAGTAATGTGAGAATTGATTTGGTGCACTTTAAATAAGATATGTGTGTTCAAGTTAAGTTGAAGTTATTAAAAATATATTTGATGGAGCACTGAATTGTATGAGAATTAGTCATAAGAGTGATCGGAGAATTTTCATATAAACCATGGTTACATTAAGGGTTATATTTAAGGGCTTTGTGTTGGTCATGAATATGCTTATGAATAATGAGGCGACTTGTTGTATGCTTTTTATAGGTGATATTTCATCAATGAGACATAATTTGGACTAAGTGGAAAAGTTATAATAATAAAAAATACTTTGTTTAGAATGTAGAGGGCTTAAAATTAGTAGAGCAAAAATTGAATATTTGTCATGTAATTTTATTGGGTGTGATGCCAATTATTGTCAATTAATATTATTAATTGATGAAGTGATATGTAGCTGTGATTGATTAAGTATCTTGAATCAATTAAACTCGAGAATGAAGATATATCTTTTAGAGTTAATGCTTGATGATTAAAAAAGAGAAAATTTTTAAGAGGATTATGCAATACGAGGGTATTATATAGACTTAAATATTAATTTTTAATTGCGAGTGGGATGATTATATTATTTAGATTGGAGTGTTCAATAGTAAAAATGTGGCTTATTACCAAGTTGAACATGATGAAAATGAAAATTTTATATGGATCCATGGCAAAATTGGAGTGGATAATTGTATGAAGGATCATATTAGAGCGACATTGAGTAGCAACTATTGAAGATAATATAGTTGAATATAAATTTATATAGTTTTGAAATGTATAACACAATTTAGAAATGCACCTATGTATCAACTAGAATGATTGACCTTATAGGTAATATGTGTAGAAGTTGTTTATATAGATTTGTGAAGAATATGTTTAAGATGGTAATGATAATGATGTGCCACAAAAGCATCACCCTTGCTGCTGTTGCTTATTGACAGTCAAGCCTTGATTCTAGCTAAATTTTCTCTATCTTCTCTTATAAATTATTTTGCATTTTTCCCTCTCTCTTGTTGGAACTACAAGCATTGCCCTTGCAACTGAGTGCTCCAACTTTTTTGTGCTATGTTCAATGACAATTGGACCTGTTGGCATGACCCACACAATACTAGGATTGCTTGAGTGTTGTGTAAGTGCAAAGAATGTGATGGGGACATCAGATCGTGGAAGGTTTATCAGAGATGTGGCCGTCGATCTACGTCCCTGATCGAGTCTTTGTATTTCTGATTCCTTTTTGTTATTTCATTATTTATGTATTTTTATTTGTTTATTGTTATTTTGGTCTTTCCGTTTGTACCCTTTTATTGGGATCTGTCATGTATGAGCCCAAAGGGCAATTGAGTCTTTTATTTTCTTTGAGTCCATTGTACTTGGCTATATATAGCCTTTTGCTTATTGTTTCATGTAATGAATGATTGATTATGAAATATTCTTCTTGCATGAGCTCTTGTGCGAGTTTGAGTGTTTGATGGAGAGAGATCCATAGGAGAGGGAGATTTGCGCACCACCCACCAACCTTGGAGACGGCCGGGTTCATGGTTCTTTATCTTGTTTGATTACCTTGACTCCCCCCTCCACCTAAACCGCCAACCTTCTCCCCACCCGGGTCTTTCCTCTCCACTCCAAAACCACTTCCAATTCCCTTCTCACATCCCTCACCCGAACCCCTATTCCCCCTTCCCAGTCCACGGCCAAGCTCCCACCCGAGCCCAAACCGCCGGCCATAGGCTTTAGCCGTCGGCCACATTCAAGCCCCTATTCCCTCTTGAGTTTCCTAATTGGGTGTGAGTTGATTTGGGATAATTTGAATTTCAATTCTTTGAATTTGAATTTCAAAATCCTTCCTAAAATAATTCATCTATTTTAGGAAAGTTTATATTTTTGATCTAATTTGAAATTAAAATTCAATTGGATTTAAAATAAACCTATCCTAAATTCAAAACCTAAGTTAAGAAACTTTAATTGCCCTCATTAAACTCCCCCTTGACCATCAATGCCGCCGGCCCTCTTAGTGGTTGGATTAGGAATTCTTTCCTAAAACCCAACCCCTCTCTTTGGAAATATTTTCCCTCTCTTACCAGCCGGAATTTTCAAAGTTCAAGCCTTTAAATTACTTTCCAAAGCTGAGAGTGGAATAAAGAAATAATTCCCTAATTCCTCTCTATATCCCGCCGGCTCCCTCGTGGGAGTTTTCCTAAAATCTGTCCAGGTTACATTGTTTCTCTTTGGGAAGAGTTGGGATTTCACCTTGCTGCTGGCCGAAATTCTCCAAGACCTCACCTTGGGTTGCCTCTCTCTAATCTCCTCTCTTCCTTTTAATTCCCCATTGGACTTGAGACCAGAACTCTCCCTCCTCCAAATCCCCTTTCCTCTAAGCGCAGAAATCTGAAATTCCTCTCAGATTTCTGGACTAAACCTGAAACTATTTCAGATTTTTGGAAGGACACTTGGAGCTTGCTTCCTCTCCACTTGCAAGAGAAACTTCTTTTTCTTTGCTACCACTCGAGAGGCGTATCAAGTGCTAAGGAGATTCTACCTTCAATCATCCATGAATGGCGGATCCGGAAACTGATTACGGCATAACTTGGGATGAAGACGGCTTCGTAGACATCCTACAATCTACTTTCTTCGACGTGAATCCAAGAGTTGATCTCACCGTCAAGGATTACTTGGAGTGTACGTTGATCTATTTGGTAGAGGCTATCAACGAACACTTCAAAGGCATCGAGTGGAGGATCTCCACCTCTCCCTAACGAAGGTTTCTTTTTTCCCTTGCATCTTATTCCTTTTAGTCTAAACTCTCATTGGTTTGATTGCAGTCACGACGGACTATTCTGCATTGCTCTTGCTTAAGCTTAGTAATCGTAGGATTTGAGTGCATCTCAATGCATCCTAATTCTCATTGTTAGATTAGGGATTAGTTTGAAAACCACTACTGCTCATCTTGTTGTTTTTCTATTTATTTTGAAAGCTTCAAAATTCTTATCATGTGATTTTAAACATAAGCGGAGAACCACTAATTGCTTTATTTCATTGTTTGAATTTGCTAGTAGATTTGTTCTAGAATTATTCTGATCATAAGTTGTGCAAAATCTAAGTGAATTAAACATTGCATACGTAGTCTTGCACCAGAATGATACCTGGTTAGCTTTTTGTATGGATTAGTACTGTTGGACCGGCTCATTATTCTACATAAGTACACATACTAGAATGATTAGGGCTTGGCTGTGAGAATGAGAGGGCGTGACATAGAAGAGAAGAAATAAGAGTAAGAAGCAGACTAAGGAAAAATTAGTGGACAGGAAAAAAAAAAGTAGAGCTCATAAAGAGAAGTGATGATTGTCCTCTGATTTTGGCTGTTAGGGTACCTAGCTAAGGCAATGGATTTCAATTAAGAATGAATTGAAGCGGGGAAAGGATAAGAAAGAAAAAAATAGAAAGAAGATGAAGGAAAAATATAAAATGTAAGGTTAGAAAAGTGCAAGGAGATATGATGCCATGAGGAACATGCTAGATGCTCTAGTGTTGCCACCATCCAATGGTGATAGGAAAGAAGATGATATTGGAAATAAATTTGTCCAATGGAAATTAGTCGAGCCCTAATTGGGCTATTAAGATCTTGAGATGGGAATTGCATTTGTGGCTGAGATTGGGCTGCTTCGATAGAAGAGGTTGATTGGCTTGGTGCTGTTTCTTTGGGTATAGAATTCTCATTCCTTGTTATTGAACTTTGAGAAATTTATTATAAGAAAGTTTGGATTTTAACAAGGCCCAGAGAACATAAAGTACTCTGTAAAAGAGAGAGATCCAAAAAGAAATTCCACACTTGAAGCTTTAACCTCCTATTTATGAGAGCATGCCTTGGTTTGTTCTATAGGCTGGGTTGTATAAGGAACTATTTTTGATGGAGTAGTCAGGCACTGCTTTGGTTGGTTGTATGTCCTTGCTTTCATATTGCACTTCCCAGGAATGCGAGTTCCTCCCGAACAATTACTTGAGTGAAGTATTGCAAGACGAGAACTATCTACAAGTTAGATGTGAGTTCTTAATGAGAAGCGACTATTGAATACTAACTGTCTGGGTAATATTGTCAGGCACTACAAGCCGAGTACTTTATGCTGATATGCTGTGCTAGTGGGTGACTTGTTTTTGATAGTCAACTTCCTCTGCGTATGATGCCACTTGCCAAATGGTTTGCTATGGATGATTTGATCCAATTTGTCGGTTGATGTAGCTGAGTAGTCTTAAGCGGCTAGATTGAAATCATTAATGTCATAGCCCATCTTACTGAAATGACTCGATCAATCTAGCTCATGTCGATATAGGTTTACAAATGAGGGTATTGTTGACTACACTATAATGGGGTTAAACCAAAAAATCATGTCGATTTCTCTTGACTTTTATAATGAAGTATTATAAGCATTTACTGAGATTATCTATTCCTGCAGGGAAATATTGAAGCAGCTCAGGAGATATATGATAAAGCCATCAAAATGGCCCATGAGAAGCATAACTTGAAGATACTTCCTCTTTTGTATGTTAATTTTGCACGATTTACATTTGTGGTAATCTTCTTGGAAACTTGCTCTCATCTGATTTACCAGGAAAGATCATTCATGCTTTTGGACTTGCTGCGTATTCCTCACTCCAGTTTACACTTTCATGGTTTTATTGTACATAGTTAATGTATATCAGAGTTGTGATTTATTAAATATACTGAGACAAGACTTGTTACAGTTTACAATTATGTTGTGGTTCAATTAGGAAATAATGCCCATTATGAACAATGTGACTTTAATGTTTTCTTCAAACAAGTACATAAATGAAGGAACATTAGATATTAAAATAGCCTTTTTTCATTTTTTTTGCAAAAAAACATGGCTACTGATTAATGAGAATGAAAGATATCACTTTTATGACAGATATTTATCATAAATCTTATATTACAATGCATTGAGTATTGTTCCTAACCTTGGATGGTTAAGTTCCCTTAAATCTGAACATGTTGTTGAGGTTTGTTCAAAGCTTTCTGAATGGTTAGTGAGAGGCTTCTACAATATGTTTAGGATGCTACATTTCACATGCTGACAATCAAAACTTACAAAAAAAAGAAGAATTTGAGAATTGAAGAGGAGGAGAAAAGGAACTAACACATTTTATTCACTTCTTGTAAAAATAGATACAATATATAGAATTTAAGACATAAAAATAAAATGAAATACACCTAATATATGCTAGACTGTAAATAACATGGTACAAGATGTCTGATTTTAAATCAAATATTGTATATTGTACAGAGCTTTCCATGGAAAAACAATAATGAGAAATCTCAGAAATTAGAGCCTTCTGATTGAATCTATCCCTTTGGTACATGATTAAATATAACTCATTTGTGGCATGTGGCATAATCTGTGGAGATTTTCATTACATAGTAGAGCATGGAAAAAAAAAGTAGGACATATCTGTCCAGATTTACTTTATTTTACTGTCTAGATTTGCTTCAATGGATTCAGCCATATAATTATTTTTCGGATTTGCTTTCATCCATATAATTATCATTCATGTAATTGCTATCCAGCTTTTCATGAATTCAACATGTATTTATTTTCCAAATTTGCTTCCAGCCATGCAATTTTTGTCCAGATTTCAAACACAGTCCCTCAAGCTGGGTAATATATGTTTAGTGTTCCCAGCGTAGTGATTAGATTGTCAAAATTATCTCTAGAGAAAGTTTTGGTTATTGTCAACAATTTGCAGATGATCTGGAGTGTAAATAACAGAGATAATTCGATGATCAACTTTTTCTTATACAAGTAATGATCAATTTCTACATGCTTGATTTTATCTTGATGAGCAAGATTTTTTACAATATTTTTAACAATTTGGTTGTCACATAGTAATTGGATAGGTTCATTTTGAAATAGATCACTTACTGATGATTTATTATAGCCACTTCACTTCATAAATCCCATTGCCCATAGCTCTAATTCTTGATTCAATGCTACTCATGACAACAACTGGTTGCTTTTCCTCCATGTCACTAGATTATTTCCATTTGAACCTACAATATTTTTAGGTAGATCTGTTGTCAGTTATAGATTCTGGCCAATCAACGTTAGTAAAAAAATCTCAATAGTTTTGCATCTGTTTTTTGGAAATATAATTCTTTACCACGTTATTTTTATTTATCTTAAAATTCTCATAATGGCATCCATGTGCTCTTCATTTGGTTGTTCATGAATTGGCTTCTTAGGCTTATCCAAAAAAAATGTCAAACCTTGTATGAGTGAGGTAAGTGAGTTTGCCAACAAGTATCTAATATTGACATTTGTCTACAATAGCACTTCCTTCTTTGTCCCTAATTTGATATTAGGATCCATGTGACTATCTATTGGTTTGCATCCAAGCATTCCAATCTCTTTTAAGAGATGATATATCTTTGTGGGACATAGGAATGTCCATTTCGAAAGTACTTTAAGTTTTGGCTAGCAATTGTTCTTGATGGTAGATATCCATCATGAAAATCTCAAATAAGAATAGTATCATCTACATATACTATAAAGATAGCATATTATTTTTTAACTACTTGGGATAATCCATTAAATTGAGCTTGAGGAGATTGTTTTAGGCCATAGTGCAATACAGGGGCTTCTCGAGTATGCATAATTTGTTAGTAGGGACTTGTGAGTGGAATTCGGGTGATATTTTCATGCATATCTTGTCTTCATGATCACTATTAAGTATTAAGAAATATTTATTTATTTTTACTTCAAGTTGATACGTTGGCTAATTAAGATTAGTAGTAGGGGATGGAAGTAACTAAATAGCATTGAGTTTGGCAACATACACGAATATTTCTTGGTAGTCTCTACTATAATATTGAGTATATCTTTAGGTACAAGTTAGGCTCTGAGTCTTTCTATGCCCCAATCAGCTCTATAAAATAGAGGTTCCTTAATTGATCCAAAAAACATGTTCCAATCATATGAAATGTTTGTTGAATCCTGAATGTTAAGGTGATCCTAATTCTGAGTTTTGTTCCAAGTTTGAAGAAATAGAGCTTTGAGTACCTTTATTTGTTTCTTGTTGGAATTATAGTCAATGCAGTATTTCAGTTGGTTATTGTTTTTGAAAATTTGTTGACCTTGACTTTCTTTGATGTGGGGAAACACTTAGGTTTTCAAGTTAAGAGTTTTTTCGTAAGTTTCCAGCATGCCTCTTTGGTTTAATTAGGTTTGCGATATCGGTCACATTATATACCTCTTTTCTTCGGTTTAAAATCATTTGAAGATGATTTCTAGAAATCACGAGCCATTAATGTAGATCCTTCTCTAGTTGATATGGTTTGGGATGGTCCTATCATCACCTTCGTCAGACTTTCTTCCAACCGGACCTAAAAAAAGTCTCCTTGATATTAGAAAGAGGTTCAATGCCTAAAATTTTTCAATGAATCTCGTCAAGATCATTGATTGATCTCATGAGACACTTGAACACATGTTCTTATTGATGATCAATTTGTAGATTTGCTTCATTAAGAGGGTACTTCCAATCATGCCATTGACATTTGAGAATTGAAGTCTTGAATAACGAATAAGTTGCTTTAACCTAATTTATTGAGGATTTTATCCTTGAAGAGATTTTTGATATGCTCTTAGACTTTGAATAAGTTGCTTTTGGCAGTTTCCTAAATTTCATTGGTACTTGAGTAATAGATTCTCTTAATTCTTGATAGTCATGGAGTTGACAAGTCATGAAATCATCCCGATATTTTCTTATTTCCCGACTTTATATGTTGGATGTCCTTTTTATGTTGTAGGTGTTTATCTCGTCATGTAATCATCTCTTACTCTTCCGCAGGTGAACATCATCATGGGTTGTAACCATTGAAGATAGTTATGGCCATTGAATTTGTGTCCTGTGATTGAAAGAAAATTGTTTTTTGTCCATTGGTAGGCCGAGAACCAAGTACCCTAGGTTCATAGGTGACTGCAGACAGGGAGAATTTCCCTTCAAATGCCATGTCTTTTTTTGTGATGATGATGATGGCTAGAGCATAATAAGGAGCAACCTGGTCTCTGATAGCTTGAAGAATTTGAGAATTGAAGAGGTGAGAAGGAACTAAACCATCTATTCACTTCTTGTAAAAAATGGTACAATATATATAGTTTAGGACAAAAAAAGGAAGGAAATACTCCAATGCACTCTAAACAGGAAATACCATAATACATGATATCTGATTTAAATCAAATGTTGGATAGATCATAATGAAAAATTGTAAAGAAAAATCTCAAAATTGAAGCCGGATGTAGCATGACTGCTTGTATGTATCCCTTTGGTATGTGATTAACTACACCTCATTTATGTGGCAGAATTTAAGGAGATTGGTAGTAAAAAACAGCATTGAATTGTCCAAATTTTCTTCCACATTCGACCGTAGAGTTATTTTTCAGATTTGCTTGTAGCCAGGCCTCTGTTTAAAATTGCGCAACAAGAGGCGCGCCTCTGCGCAATTCTTCCCAAAGACGCCTCGAGGCGCACGCAATTTGGAGCCTGGAAGAGGCGTACGCCTCACCTTGTGTGAGGCGCGTCTCAATTGCGCAATTATGGGTGAGACGTACGCCTCATCCAAATGGCCCCCACCTACTTAAAATGAGCATTTTTTTTCCCTACACCCGTTCGGCTCCAGGCATTTCCCGAAAGCTCCCCTCCCGCAAGCTCCAGTTCGCGAAACAGAGGATCCCGCACGGTCGGCCTCCAATCCCACCACCTCTCCTGCCGGCGCCGCCTCTCTCCGGCGAACTTGAAGCGTCCGGCCGCCTTCTAGGATAAGTCCACAATCGATTTTAGGTATTTTTATTTAGATTTTGGTTAGGTTTTTCAAGTTAAAGGAAATCTAGAGTTTTTGATTTTTTAGTGATGGGATATGATTGCATTTTATATGTTCTTTGTATTTTGGGAGTTTTGTTGAACTAATATTTGTGATTTTGTACTTTGGGACATGATTTTATTGCATCTATTTTGTTACTTTCCACTATTTTCATATATCATTTAGATATTTTTATTGTAAGATAGAATATTGCTATTATTATCCTGCTAAAACCCTTAGTTTCTCATTTACGCAATTTTGTGTCCGTGAGGCTTACGCCTCAGACCGCCTCGAGGCTTACGCCTCGCCTCACCGACGAAAACCGCCTCGAGGCTTAATTACGCAATTTTAAACCTTGAGCCATGCAATTACTGTCCAGATTTCCAACTGAAAAAAAATTAAGTAATTTGTTGTCCACGTTTGTGTGTTGAAGGGAAGGAACTAGCAGTAGTAAATTTCAAACTTTTTAGTGATAACAAAAACCTGCATTGATAAGCTTTTCTGGTCCTATCTCAACGTTTCTATGAAGGCAAAGAAGCAAACATTTATGATTATGGACTTTCCATCTGAAAGTGTTTGTCTTTTCCTGCAGTCCTTGCATCCTTTTTTGCGTGCCAGAATACAAAGATGTAGAAGAGTTGGTCTTTGAAATGGAAGCATTGTATCATTTTATATATAAGCAAATGGCACGGGGCTAATTTTTGAAAAGAAGCTCTATTTATGCCTTGTAGGCTGTAAGCATCCATCTAAACAAAATTTTAGAACGTGAAGTAGTTAAGTTCAAGTATGAAACTGACTCTTTAAAAAACAATTGAAACATCTTGATTGCTTGTCATTTCTGCAGTTGGTTGGAAATCCTTCTTTTCTTTGTTTTCTTGATGCACTTTTGCTAGTCTACAATTACATACTTTAGTGTAAACAAGCTTTTGAAACTTATAATCGTGAATAAATTCTACGACGTACCCAGAATTTGGGGAAAGCTCCCCAGCGAACTGCTGGTTTTGTAAAGTCCATGCTGTGAAGCCAGTATCCTTGACAGATTGAATCTACTGCATGTCATTTGGTTTATTCTTCTCTCTGCATTGAATTCAAGTTGTTATGAATTTTTTTTTAAATTCTAAGAAACATTTGTGATGAACTTACTATATTTTTGAAATGAAATATTTAATTTTAAATGGCATGTTAATAGTATTTTTACATTATTCTTTATCATCTATTTCATGTTTGCATTTGTGTAGGTTACTCACAGTGTAGAGGCTGCCAAGGAAGTTTTCATCAAAGGTATCCAACAAAATCCATGCAAATTAATTATAGAGGTTGTAACTTTGCCCTTTCTCCCGAAAATTGTTCGAAGTTTTACTCTACTTAATAACATTATGAGTTTTTTAGCAGAGTTTTTCCATATATATTTTAGCTTGTGCTTGTTTATTCATGCTATTATCATATCATTGTTTGGAGATAGAATGATAGTGGACCATAGATCAACCCATGACTTGATAAGTTTGGAGCAAATTCCAAAATATATTCCTTAATCACTTTCTCCTAAAGCATATGTATCTTACTGTCAACAAATTCCAAATACACAAACGGTCAAAGTGCATCCTTTGCTATGAGTGTGTGGAATTATGATGAGTGTAGTCCATTTGTACATAAACTCTTTATCATTCAAAATGTGCATGTATTCAAGAGCAGTAAAATAACAAAACTTGCACCTCCACTCCACCCTCCTTCCCCCTCCCAATAGACACTTGTCAAACTATAATCATAGCTTGATTTGCATGAAGGTGTTGATCTAATTAAGAATATAAAAAGAACACGTTTTAATGCCACACACTTCGGAAAGCTTATGAAACTATTGATCTAGTCATATCTTGGAGTTCAAAGGCGTCTTAAATAAGCTTTGCTGTACAAACTGCATTTAAACTTTCGTTTGAGATAATCCATGCCCAAAAAGATCAAACAATAGCTTAGATTTATCTTTCAGAATGGTCTGTGTTGTCATACTTTTTTTTTTCAAAATTAATCTGGATAAGGATTTAATATCAATTGTGCTTCCTGTTGGCATTCTACATCTCCAGCAGGTAAGCAACAATACATTACTTGTTAGGTTATGATTTAACTCTCTCTCTCTCTTTCTCTCTCTATATATTTTACTTCCTCTCTAATGGTGGGTATTGAATCAAGTTTGAACAAATCAACTTCAGCTCTAAATTTAAAAAAAATGATGCACGCTCAAGTCAAGATTGAGTTGAGTTAAAAATAATCTATTTCTGGTCGATTTTTTAGCTTTTTCATGCAAACTTTAAAATATTCTAAATTTCGAATATATATATATATATATAAGCATATGGATAATCACGAGTCCAATTGCTTGCTTTTATATTTCTACACCCCCACCCCCTCTCCGTGTAAGAGGCAATTTAAGTTTACTGTTACAACAGGTGCAATCAGCTTCTCAATTGCTTGTTTAGAAAGAAGTTATGGTTTGATAAATCCTTCCGCAAGTAAATAATGGTTCTTGAGTTTTCCTTCCTAATCCGTCTTGTTATATTTGCAAATATATAAAAAGAAGTTCTTTTGTTAGGTTTATTACTTATATTCTTATTCTAGCCATTTATGCCAACAACATATTAATTATTAATGTGATTATTTTGTTGATGAATTGGATTGTAGATTGCTTAGGTATATCTATTTAAGACGTTCATTAAAGCTCCACAGATTTTTGTAGATTCTTTTCCTAGATTATCTTGCTGGAAACCTAAAAATCAACTTATTAGTTTGTGATGTTTTGTGGGCAATTATTTTGTTAATTGTTATTCACTATTTATCTGGGTTACCTTTTCTTGACTGTTTGCTAATTTGCAGGCTTTTATAGACTTTATGACCATGCATGGAGGGACGAGCCAGTTAGATTCCGTAGATTGTAAAATGGCCGCTTTATTATCACCCGATTCAGATGTTTCTCAAGCTTTAAGCTTTCAGGATCGTGAAGAAATCTCACAACTATATCTAAAGGTCAGATACATCAGCCACAAATGAAACATGAAAACTTGTCACTAAAGCTTTTTCAAACTAACTTCAATATGTAAATCTTCTGTGAGAATATATCCTCTGCGCGAAACTGAAAAAGTGTGTATTATAATTAAATGCCTCTGACTGAGGTGGCATCTCACATAGGTTTCCTTTACGATTTCAAGTAGATATTTTTCTGCTGGTCAAATGGGCCATTCTCTATTGTTGCTTTTAGTGCCATTTGTTATATTACCATTAAATGGCTAAAATGCCCTTAGAAAGTCATAAATAAAACCCCATTAAATGGCCAAAAGGCCCTTAGAAAGTCATAAATAAAACCTGAACATTTAAACATGATTAATTGCTTCTTAATTTAATCTTATAATCTATATTTTGCTGAACACTAGTGCTACTTTTTCTTGAGCATTAGACTGTGAAGTTCTCCTCACACCACAAGGAAAGCTGGTGCTTTGTTAACAAGATATCTGTCTGGCAAAGTGGAGAGAGAGCTATTGCAGGCATGGGGGATGCTAACCTCTGCTTGGATATCTTTCATGGTTTATTGATGTAGAGGGTGAGGGACTTGAAGGAGAGGAGCCTCATAAATGGTGGATAGTTGCAAGGGTAGTCTTTAATGAGATTCATTTCACCTGTAGTCTGGTTAGGGTTGGTGTGAAGCTTTGAAAACTTTTATTTGACAAATCAACAATAAATGTTAGGATGGGATAAGATGGAAATTTTTGAATGGACACTACACGAAATTGGAGAAGCTCTTGGACTTTCACTTGCTTCTATTATTTCTATTTACAAATCATTGATCTGGACCAGAAGGTGTAATTGAGACGAGTTGACTCAAGAGTCGGATCGGACATAGCTTGATAAATGGACCATGAGCCGAGCTTTATGAGCTTATTGGTTAAGCTTGAGATGATATTGACTTGGCTTGCTGGCTCTAAAGCCGGCCCCATAAAAAATTGTTACTTAAAATATACTTAAATAATAAAAAAGAGTTTAACTATAAATTTATAAAAAATGAAAAATATCTTTGTTCTCATCATTCATTTATTTTAATTATTATTGTTTATTCTCCAATTTCTTATTCTTTTCATGATTTCATTGCTTAAATTTAAATGGCATAATATTCTCTCTCTCATGATAAATATGTTAACTCATGTGCCAACTCAAACTCATAAATCGAATTCAAACTTGAGATCAAACTAGGTTAATTTGTTATACTCAAGTGTAAGTATTTGACAGCTTGAGCTCAACTCCACTCATTTATAACTTTACATTGAACACTATTATTTTGATAGTGCACTATACCAATTAGTCATGGGGAATAGTGCATGAGTAATAGTACAAATGAATATGAGAAATTATTTGAAAAAAAAAATAAAAAAAAAACCAGGAAAAAAATGGATATAAGATTTACATGGTTTGATGGTGCCTATATCTATAGCCACAATGACATTTTTCCAATAAATTATAAGAAAAATGCAAATATTTTCTCTCTATAGTTTCCTTTATCGTTTTATCTCTCTAGTTTTCTCATTTTTCTCTCTCTTTCTTAAATCCTTATTATTCCCTTCCTCTCCTCTTATTTTATATCTGTTTAGACTTATGTAAGAATGATTCCTCACCGAAAAACCCATCATTCCCAGGTCATATGGATAAATATATGCACAAATTTTATGTAGAAATATACTTTCCCCTTCTCACGCAAGCTTCCTATGCCAACTTCACCTAAAAATTCCTTTAATTTTCGAAATTCATTGAGACCCCTTACCTAATTGCAAATCTTTCTTCTTAGCAAATACTACCAATTGATCTTGCTAGCCACGGGTCATCGCTTTCCACCAAATCTTACTTTCTTCTCACTAGAGTCTCCAATCAAAGAAAAAAGGGTCTCCTATTATCCTTTCATTGGTCTTAATGTCTTAGAACCAAAGCCATCTTCATTGAAAGTAATCCACTGCTCCAATTGACTAGGCCCACTGATCAACAACACTACCTTGTTCAATAACTAATATGCACTGGACTCCTTGCATGCTGTTGATGTATAATACTCATTATTGAAATGAAACGATCACTACTCAAGATCACGTATCTTTGATGTAGACAAAGGGGAGGTCAACACAAGTCCAAAATAAATAATATTTTGGCTTCCCTTGAATCTACTAGCTCAATCCAATTGAGCTAGAATTTTAGCTCATTTATGAGCTAGGCTTTAGTTCATTTATTGAACTAGGGGTTAGCTCATTATTAGCTATGATTTTAGCTCATAGTTATCTTTATATTTAATGTACTTTTTATGATTTTTATGTTTGTTTTTATGTTTGTCTCTTGGAATTTCAAACCGGCTTTTGGAATTCCAAGATTTCTTTTTCCCATGGTGGCTCCTTGAATTCCACCATGGCCTTTTAGTATTTTGTGCTTTACCTCTTGGGATCTCACGGCTGGCTCCTTGTTCCGTGTCCGCCCCTCGTTTCCCGTGGCTTTGGCTCTCGGTCCGTGCGGTTCCCTTCGTCTCCCGTGGCTGTCTCCTTGGTTCCTGGTTTGGGTGTAAACCGAGAGCTTTGGGGGGAGATTTCTATGCTTTTTAATGCTTTGAATTATGTGTTAATTAAATGTTTGTCCTTTTGTATTCCCCTTTCATACCTATAAATATGGGGGGGTTATGTAATGTTTTGAATAGTGAAGAATATGTGATTTTTGGAAAAAATCTGTTAACCTGCGGGTTGCTTGGAAATCCTGCGGGATCTTTTCACCCTTCTTTCTCATCCCCTCCGGAAATCCTGCGGGCTCTTTCCAACCTTTCTTCTCGGGCTTCTAATCTCTTTCGTCTCTCCGCAAGTGCCACTCCACCTGTATCTTTCTTCTCTAAGTGCAGCAACTTTAGGGTGTCGCCATTTTGTTTGCAAGAGTCGTTTGTATTGTTGTAAGTTTTCTTTTTTTTATTTTGTAAGAGTTTGTTCGTCTCTATTCTCCTCTTTTCTCGTCCTTAGTCATTTTTGTTGTTAGAAGTCCGTCGTGTCTTTTTTGTGGGTGAAGGGTATAGGCTCCCTATATCTTTTGTCTACAACAATCTTGCTGCCATGCAAGACTGAGTTATTTTATGTGATAATGCTCTAACCACAACATTTTTATTTGTTTAAATAGAAATGGAAGGATGGTGGTTTTCCACACAATAACCAAGTTTGTTTAACACTAGGGGATTTTAGAACATATTTGCTAGATTCTTTGTAATAACTTGATGAGTCAAATTTGTTAGGATTTAAAAGCCTTTATTTAAGCAACATTTTTTTAAACATATTTCAACTTTAAATATAAGTTATATTTTATTCCCTATAGTTTGGGAATTAATCTCAACATCTTTACAATCTCCCACATGGGGATTAACCTTCGGATACATTGTCTTAAGAGAGTTATGTTTGGGTGGCATCCCCACTCAATCATCAATGGGGATTGATTGAGGCTTTGCATTCTACCAGTGATAGTAAACTTATTCGATCCATTTACCACAACCCATTCTTTTCTATCATGCCTCACAGTAATGTTAAAGCATTGCTTGTTCTATAATACCCTCTCATCCTTTGGTAAATGTTACTTAATAGAGCATTTATATATCTCATATTTCTTTTTTAGATTCACTAGGATCTATTAACAATAAGTTATGTAAGGAAGAATAGTAATTTTTTAATAGTTCAAGGCATTTGTTGGGATCTTCTTTACTCAGTGATAGGCATGCTAAGCTCTGCTTGCATTTCAATTTTTAACCAATATTCTTTTGTAGCTAAACCTATCATTGTACATGAAGATTTCATTAAAATTATCTCTACTGATGATTTTTAGATTTTTATCATCCTAAAATTGATGACCAAGATTAACTCCATAATAAATGAAGTAACACTAATAAATTTCATATGAATATTAGAAAGTCATTTGAAAAACCTTTAAGGGGCCGTTTGGTTGGATGCCAAATAAATGCAGAATAAATAGAATATTGTGTAAAGGGAATGTAATACATTTGAATATTTGAAAGTTGTTTGGATGAGTGTAAAATAAATTTAGATAATTACTTTTTTTTTGTTTGACTTATATTAAAATGAATATAGTATAAAGCCCAATGATGGTGCTAGCCAACAACTATTGGTCGCAGTGATGGCAGGTGGCTATGGCAGATTGACAATGAGTAGCCGGTGGCTGACTGCTTGAGCAGTGGTGATGGTGGCTGCGTTGTGTACCTGTCAGCACGATGGCTGGCAATCGGTGGCTAACAATCGGCGACCGATGGTGGCGGTGATTACGACATTGGTAGAGAATTTATAGTGTGTTTGAAAATCAGTCAAATCTAACGATTTTCAAATACACCAAAATTGAACTAGAGAACGAATTATAATGCTTTAAAATGCTATTCGACATTTCCTTAACTTCAAAACAACAATATTTTCAAAACATTTGCATTTGGTATACTTTACATCGGTTTTACTTCAAACCAAACATCTCCTAATTGAGAAAGATTTCTCTCTTTTCTAGTCCATACTTCTATAGGTTGCTTATAGCCTAGTTGATTAAATAAATCAAAATATTTTAGCATGTAACAAGAAAGCTTCTAACAGTACAACATCAAACCTCTATATCTCACTTATTTATTTAGAGTATTATTCATGGGCTTAAAAATCCCATCTTGATGAGATGTTAATGGACATGTCCTCTAATGTATTTTAAAGCTGCAGAAAATTCTCTGAAATCCTTATTGTAGTAATTTTTACTTGTATTTGATCTCAGACAATTGATATTCTGATAGGAAATATTTGCAGAAATAGAAGAAAAACTTGGCTGAAATTGGAATTTCAGCAAATTGCAAACAATAGTAGAGAAGAAACTTGTGGTAAAACACTTGAGAAACCTTTTAATTGATGAATGACGGAAAAAACAAACAAGATACAATGTATCCTTGATTGGAGAGGAGGATTTGACTCTCCCAAATCTTTAGACTCCGA